TAATTTTATACAGTTGCAAAACATGTAATTTCTGGTTTATTGTAATATTGATATTTTCAAATAAGTCTTATCTATCACCTTAAAATGTATCCAATGAGTCTTAAATACTCATACTCAATGAAATGTAAATATATGAAAAACTATTCTACAAAGTTTACATTTTCTCCTTGAACTTATGTTTCTATTACACTTTCCCCACAGAAATTTATTCTAATGCAATGTATATTATGCTTTAAAGTCTTTTTTAACAACCCATCATGCTTCTCTGCAAAATATGTACATTGAAATTTTGTTATTTCAGTTCTTGTGACATTAAGACTGTATTAACATTTCTTCAGAACTAAGTTAGCATTATAATTGTTATTAGTATACAATTAACCAAAACATACATATTATATATATTTCATAGCTAATTTTTAATTATAACAATTTTTGGAAAGTGCTTCTATTAATTTGATGGATAGGCTGGTTTGTCCCCTGGTTAGTTCACATATTCACTGGTGAATATTATTTATTACTAGAATAAGCATGAATTTTGTTCATATGCTTTGCTTTACATATAATACTGAGTGTTTACACAAATAAGGAGATGGGAAAGGAAAGTGTTTTGTTATAGCAATGTTACTCAAATCTTTGAACTTCTTCTGAATTATAAACCCAGAATCATAGATAATTTATCATCAAAATTTAATTTTATTAAGTTGAAGCTGACAATTTTATTAGGTCTTCCTTCAATTTTGTTAATAGCAAAGAATTGGAAATCACCTAACCTGCAAAAGAATTTGTAATCCAGTCATTAATAGCCATTTACTGTCTCTAACCCCAGCATCAACATTTTGAAATATGATTAGTTTAATGCTCTAGATGTGTAAAAGGGATGTGTAAAAGCCTCTAGGGCATTAAACTAACCCCAAGTAAGATTCCAGATGGTTGAAAGGTATTCCACTCTTTTAACAAGTGGATGAAGCGTGATTGGAAAATGGGAGGTGGGAAAAGAGGCCGAGGGACATTCTCAGGCAGATTCACTTTAGTAAAGAATATTTGTGGAAATTGAGGATCTCAGAAAAGCTTTTCTAAAAACTATTCTTGCTTCCACATTTCTCAAAAAGTAGTGAGGAAAGTTCACAAACCTATTTGAAGACCACTGTGCAATGTATCTGAACACACTGAGAGAATGAATTACTTTCAAAAAGACTTCAATAATATTACAGAAAATTAAAGTGTCCAAACATTTATCTCAATCTTCTCAACTCCCTGGATTTAATCTAAATGTAGGCATAGCCTGACTTGAGATAGCTATAGCAAGAGTTAAGGAGAAGGAGCCAACAAGGTGTTCATAACAAACAGCACAGAAAGATGTGGGAGATCTTTAAGAGCCAACAAGACTTGCTGTTAGGATTTTGCCAGTCCTTCTCTCCTTATTTTAATGAAATTCTTATAATTCCCCGAAGGGTTGAACTGGCTCTGGGTCAGACAGGACCAGAAGGTCCTCATGTTTTCTCCCTGAGGAATTCTGTAATTTTGTTGCCACAAACAAAGCTGAGGATAGGAAAGCATCTCCTTTATCGTTGTATTTTGTTTAATATGAAAATAATTGCCTCTACTCTTGGAGACCTGGCTTAATTAGACTAATCTGATTTTCCACTGGCAAAACTAACACTAAAATGGTATTGCTCCAAGTTATCTAACTGTAGAGCAACCACACGTTTTCTCAACAGATACGAAAGTCAAATGCTATAATGTTGGATGAGGTCATTGTAACTAGTTTGTTATAAGGCCTATTTTAAGAGACCACATGAATTTCAGTGAATATTATGCTGTGACAGGAAGCAACAGATAGAAAATTTACTGCAGAAAAAAATTATGAAGTGTTCCTATAATTTACCTAAACAGTGATGAGTTTCCATGAGTTATTTCATAAGAACTATGTTATTTGACCGTAACCTTTGTTCTTTCACCCCCACAGGCCACAATATCAGACCCTGGTCTGTTTTTCCCTCTCTTAGCCACCCTCTTCTTCCCTGCTCAGCTTGAACACTATGATCAACCTTTTGATGGATACTCTCACCAGCACTCTCAGTGCTCCCTTGAACTTCTGCTTATCTATTCTGCCAAGCCCCAGCTCAGAATCAAACAACCATCTGGTTCTCTCTACTATTGCTTCTAGTTTGCCAAGTACTGCTGGAGAAAATTGTGTAACTGCTGATTCATGCCATGCCAAATCTGCAATTTCCAAATTCACCTTGACCCTTTGCACTACTTGGCAATCCTTTTACTCCTACCTGGTTGGCTTCCTGGTGCTCTTCCAAATCTCATGTCATTACTCTTCTGAGGTTTCCTGCTATACCTCCTCAATCAAGAGACGACCTAACTTTCTACATCAGAAAAAATTTGTATTCAATTTCCCTTCCTCCCACTTCTAATGGTCATCTACATCTTACTGTGCCCTTCCCCCTGTTCCAGGGGATCATTATCATGCATCAATTATCCCCTAATACTGTTCATTGGTTTCTAAGCTATTCACTACAAACTCTATACACATTATTACAAGGCAAATATTCTCCTAGGAATTAATATTGCAAATTAACAAATGGGCTTTGGAATGTCAGGAAACAAAAGCTGCTGATTGGCTATAGAAAACAGCACATCAAAATAGCAAGTGTTGGTCTGGTATAGGGGCTTATGCCTGAAATCCCAGCTACTTGGGAGGCTGAGGCAGGAGAATCACTTGAAACTGGGAGGCGGAGGTTGCAGTGAGCCGAGATCGTACCATTGCCCTCCAGCCTGGGCAACAAGAACAAAACTCTGTCTCAAAAAAAAAAAAGTGCTCTTCCTTTTTGAATCATTCATAATCATTCATAATCAAGAACAGAAATGAAGGTAAGTTGGGATGCTACCTGCCCATTAAATGTTTCAAAATTCTATCATAGTTCTGCCAACCAAGAGTCACAACATGAAATTTAGAGGCAATACTTTAGCGATCAATGCCATTTTTGTCCTCTACTATTTGCTGCCACCTGTCACATATGCAGTCAAAGATGCTACTAATGCTACTAATGATAATTCATCCAGCCAGTTTCTTTTTTTTAACTGCGAGGAGTTTTCTCACCCTCATTCAATCCAAACTTTTCATGGAAATTCCCAGGGCAACCAATGTGAATTATGTATGATTTGATATGGCTGTCCTAATTTAACATCATATTACACCACGTATCATACAAAACTTACAAGTGACATATATATGTTGTAAAGGTATTTGTAGGCCAGGCATGGTGGCTCACACCTATAATCCAAGCATTTTGGGAGGCCGAAGTAGGTGGATCATTTGAGGTCAGGAGTTCAAGACCAGCCTGGCTAAGAAGGTGAAACCCCATTTCTATTAAAAATACATTATTATTAGCTGGGTGTGATGGTGCACAACTGTAATCCCAGCTACTTGGGAGGCTGAGGCACAAGAATTGCTTGAACTCGGTAGGTGGAGGTAGAAGTGAGCTGAGACTGTGCCAGTGCACTAACAGAGCAATACTCTGTCTCAAAAAAAAAGAGAAGTATGTGTAGAGACTACCAAAGAAGTTTTGATGTAGAGGATACTTAGGAGAGCTATGTATCCTATCTAACCAGAAGCAGATCTTTGTTTTGTGGGCCCCTAAAACACATAATTTGGAGAGATCTGTCTTTCCAAAAGAGAATACAAAATTATGAATACAAAATGAGGTTCAGGGCCTTTGGAAGAGGTCTGTGAAAATAAAGGGCTCTAAAGTTTAAGTTTCATTAGCCTCATATAAATCACCCTTTCTGTATCTGACCACTTAATTGAGGCATTAAGCAATCCTAAACCCAAACCAAATAAACACAAACTCACTAAAATGGGAACACCTAACATGAACCAAGCTCTGTATATAATATTACATTTCATACTCCCAACGAACCTCTCAGGTCAATATTACCATTCTCAATTTTACAAAAGCAGAAACTAAGACTCAGAAAATTTAGTAACTTGCTCACAAGCAGCCCACTACGCACAGCGAAGCTGAGATCCAAACCAAAGTCTGACAAACTAAATCTTGTGTTATTTCCATTACAATACTCTCCCTTTAATGTTTCCCACAAGACAAAAGGTTTAAGTTACTTTGGAGAATACCCCTAGAAAATGGCTGGAAGTGTTCAGTTAATACTTGACATTGACATGACTTAACTCACTTTGAGACCTTCGCTAAAAATTCTGCTCTAACACTGTGTTTAAAGGGCATGAAAAACACAAATGTATAACTAGATTATCTTCCAATAAGTGAGATAGATGAAGACAAGATATCTTAAGGTCCAAAAGAAATGTGATTATAATAAAGAAGAAAATAGAAGCAGAACCAGAAAATCCTGAAGGGAGGCTAGAATTATTATACAATCTTTCAGGAAAGCGTGTGGTTATGGAAGGACATACTGATGATATGAATCTTTCACAAATTAAATCCTCTTGCTACATGTCCAGTATTCTTTTACCTGCCATTATGTAATATCAAGTTTTAGAGACTGAAAAATAATGACAGTGGCTCATATATTATATTATTCTATTATATCCATACCTTGTATTTGCCAGTTTGACCTCTTTTTTTGAAAAAAAGTCTCTTAGAAGTATTCCTTCTTCCTCCTGAGGCCCCCAAAAGGTAGATGCTGTGTCTTTATCTTTTCTTTACTTGCAGAATCTGTCACTGTGCTTTACAGATAGTGGCATTTCACAGAGGTTTGTTGCCATGAAAGAAGGTGTTGATGAGTTGTTTTTGACAGTCCAACATTTTCTAACACAAAAGGAATTCCATAATGTAGATATGATGTGATTCCATCCCATTCATTCAAAGATTTCAGAATAAAACTTTGTCATTTGGCTAGATCTAAGGCAAGAACTGATCAGATGTAGTTAGTATTTCCAGTCAACAAATTGCCATTGATGTTGAAATTACTTTAAAGACTTGTTGATTATGTGGTATTAGGGCCATTGTGACCTCGCTGTAGCTAGGATCAGTCCACTGCAGCAGGAGTTTCAAGAACAGCAGCACAAAAATGATGACTTAACTGGATAGGAAAAAAGGCACATATTTTCAGGAAGGCCTCTTTATTCTTAGAAGTTACCCTTCAAGATGACAAGTGGTGCAAACTCTCCAGGATCTTACCTGCCCTCAAAAATAAGGTGAGTCTTTGACGGAAGATGCTAAATAGAAAAGAGGGTCTCTCTTTCTCTCTCTCTCTCTCAACCCAGGCTAAAGGCAGATATTATTGTGCCTCTTCCCACAGAAGTTCTAAAATAGATGACAACTACTTGAAGGAATTAAATGAGGACTTAATGCTAAGGAAGCAGGAACTGCTAGAGATGCTCAAACCTCTAGAAGATAAAAACAACCTCTTATTCCAAAAGTTAATGTCTAACTTGGAGGAAAAACAAAGGAGGTATGGGCTCTTATTCTGGATTCCTAGAGGTAAAAAGGCTAGAGAACTTAATCTCCATAGGACTGGGAATAATTACTTACAAATTTTGTTTTATCAATTACTAAAAGGTTTGGAAATTCAGCTGTAGTAGACAAAGAATTTGTAACTACCAAGTCAGGGTGACAATAAATCCTTTATTTTCTTTTAGTAAATTAAACATGACTCAGCCCTTATTTCATGGGGCAAGTTATAACTCTTCCTCCCCAGGCTGCCCATCCAAGAAATAGTGAAAGGCCTTTAATAGCATTAGTTTACCACGGTCACACAGATGCTTTCTTGTGCATGATCACTTTAAAATAAATAACTCTGCTTTTTCTATGCCAAGCAGTGGAATGGCAGTATTTTCTAAGCCTAGGAGCCCTCTGAATTAAGGCACGGCCTCTCTAAATATACTAGGCAGCTGAAGTCTTAACCCTTTACCAGAGCACTCACTGTACTTGAGACCCACAAACACTGTTTCCTTTCTAGTCTCAGAACATCTCACCTCAGTGAGTCTGCCTTTATTCTACATCCTTATCATAAGCATCTTAAAGGACTCATATTTTTGGAGAACAAAACCCAGGCAGAAAGTTGTGGTCAAGCACCAGCTGCTTACAACTCAGCAACACAGACTTCTCTCAGAGCAAGAAACACAAAGGCTTAGAATTGTGTTCTCTCCTTAGAACTGGGGAGAAAAAAGTACAAGAACACAAACATAAAATAATTTATGCCTTTAAGGAATATTCTCTCTCACAAAGACTTGATTTTGATTCAGATTTTGTTCTAGTTGAATGGCTTGCATTCTCTGGGGCTGTGAAAGGATATCAGTGACTTCCCCAATAGACTCAAATGTTCTTATATGAATAAGCATGGAGGTGGGAGAAAGTGGACAGAGGACAGAGATGGGTTAGGAAATAACTCTGAGATTTATCCTAGAAGACAGCAGGTTCTTCAATCTCTTCTTAAAGAGGGGGTAGAATTACCCCTTCTTCTCCCAAAAGTCACACACTGCAACATTCTTCCGAGGGGGTGGAAAGGACTCTCCCTGGCTGTTGGAGACCTAAGTTTTAAGCATTAAAGAGCACAGAATTTATTCTAGAGCACATAGATAGGCAAATGTCAATTAGAAATGGAAACATCTTAGTTATAGAGATCTTCTATCACCAGAAGGGCTTCCATAACTCCTGAGATTTCAGTTCCCATCTAACTTTCATGGTAGAGTACTTTCTGACTGGTTGCAGAACATCAGTATTACCCTTAAGGAGGTATGTATGTTTTATGATGCCTCTCTTTCTTCTAGTCTTCAGATCATGAGGCAGATCATGGCAGGGAAGGGGTGTGAGGAATCCTCGGTCATGGAGCTCCTTAAGGAAGCAGAGGAGATGAAACAGAACCTGGTAAGAAGTTGGAGGTACTCCAGCAACAGCCTCCTGAATAGGGATCAATTCCATTGCAGTGTCAGATGTGGAGAGAAAGACAGAGTACTCATCTCTGGCATCCGATGCTCCAACACACATATCTCCTTGATCTAGAAAGTCCAGGGCGACCCAAAGGGAGTCAGATGGAATGTTGGGAAGAACAGGACTAGCTAGCAAAAATTCTATTCTTTGACTTTTTAAAAACTTTTTATCTAGGGAGTTAATGAATATGACCATATTAACTCTTCATGTTTCAGAAAGAATAGTAAAATATCTGCTATAAAGAATAGAAAAACACCTATCAAAATAAAATAAAATAAATAGTTTGCTCTGTGGGATTTGTATAAGATTTTCTTTTAATCAGCAATGTAAAAGGTCTTAAGAATTAAAATTAGTGGTCTAAGCCCCCAAGAAATGGTCATATAAGAACATCTTAAGTGTTAGGAACTCATTTCTATAGATATTATCTCACGATTATTATAATTAAAGTTATTACTTAAAAAATAACTTGGATTTTTTTTTTTACCAACATCATCATCATCATCATCACCACCACCACCAACATCTCTTATGTTGGATTTGGAGTTAGACCTGGATTTGGGGTTAGACCCATTCATTGCCTTCCTCTGTGGTTTACTATGTCCCTGAACCCTTTCCCACCATTATCTAGTAACTTCTTCCAAACCTACTTCAATGGCTGGACAAATACAAGCTTCTGTTTGGTTCTTCCCCCTCCAACAGGAAAGGAAAAATAAGACGCTTCGGAAGGAAATGGAGATGCTATGGAACAAGGTGTGCCTCTAAGGATCTATTGAAAGCATTGCCCTACAGATCACAATGCAAAGAACCTCCCTTTCCTCTGGCCCCCATCCTCATTGTTTCATGTCCTTGCTTCCACTATGCCTCATTCCAATCCATTCTCTACACATTAGACAAGGTGAACTTTTTAAAACAAAGCATGTTACTCTTCTTATGAAAAACCTTTACAGCCACTAATTGTGGCATAATCTGGCTCTTGCCCACTCTTCAGTTTCCTCTCATAGATGTCCTTCCCTTGCTTTCTATGCAACTTTTTATGCCAAGCCTTTTCCTATCTCAAGGATTTTGCTTGTCTTCCCTACTGCCTGTAATGCTATTTTCTCATAGTTGGCTCATTCTCATCCTTCAGGTCTCAGCTTAAATGTCATCTCCTTAGAGAGGCCATCCTTGTTTCTCCATGTAAAGTAGGGCATCTTTCTCCTCTTTTCTATTATATAACTCTGCTCATGTGCTCAATAGCACTGTTTATAATATAAAATTATTATTATTATTGTAGTATTACTTTTTAAATTGTTTCTTGTTTCCCTGCCTCCTCTGTATCTTCTCAAGCTCCTTCAGTATCTTGATTGCTTTATCTGAATCTATAGCTCCTAGCACAATGCTTGGAACATAGTAGAGAATTGATAAATGTAAGTTGAATGAATAAACAAATGAATACCTAATTTTAATGACCCTATAATTTTACAACAATCACTGCATTGTTTAAGATAAAAATATTAGGACCTTTTGCTGGGAAACCAGAGCCAGGGAGTAGGGGGAAGGGGACAGGGAATTCCTCTGTTCCTTGTCTAAGACTTTGTCCAAGACTAATCCCTTGGGACCCAAGTGCTTCTTCACAGACTATGCAACTAGAAGAGTAGATTGTGTCTTGTGATATAAACAGGTATATAGTGGGATCTCTGTCTTTTTTTTTTTTTAATCTCACTTTTCCACAAATAATCAGAATACCTTAAAGCCCTGCATCTCGTATTGAGATGTGCTCCAGGTTCTTGTGGGCAGTTACAAATTAGTTCTATGAATTGTTAGAAGTTTTAGTTCTTGGATTCTCGAGTCCTTGTATTAGGAAATGTGCCAGCACAATTCCTCTATCTAAATCCAGCTTCTACAGAGCTCTCAAAAGGGACATCCATACACTTAACTCGTGATCAACTTTAGCTACTCATATTTTAGTAAGAAGACATGGAGAAGAGCAGCAAGCCTAGTGTTCAAGAACACAGGCTTCAGAATCAGAAAGATCTGGTTCAAATTCCAACTCTGTACTTTCCTAGCTGTGTGACCCTAAACAAATAACCTCTCCAAGTCTCAGTTTTCTCATCTATAATATGGAAACAAAAATGGTCCTCAAAGAACTGTGAAGATTAAATGAGAATGTCTGTAATGTAGTACAGTAAGGAAAATAAGTAGAGTAATGCAGTAAGTAGCTTAGAGTAGTGACTGGCTAAGGGTCCAGCTAATAGTTTTCATTCCTATAAGGTACACTCAAGGGACCGAATGAAAGAAGGGCTCACTACATTCTGACTTCCCTTTGGTAGTACACTTTTCATGCCAGGCCCTGAGAAGCTGCTGACAGGCAGGAACCAAAACCTTGACCCATACTGGTTTTCCACTTCCCTCTTTAATTTCCACTACTTTAAAGCTTTGCCAAAATGTCTTTCCACAGACATCCGAGGCAGAAGAACTCAGTGATCAACAAAAAGCACCACAGATAAAACACAAGGCAGACTTGCAGGATGGAAAGGCAAGTGGACTGCATGTACTTAAAATTTCAGGATCGTCAATGTCACACCGCTGGAAACAGCCTGCTGACAATCAGGGCTAATTTGGGTAGGCAGATAGGTAGGATCTGGGTTTTTAGGGTTTATTAGATTTATGACCTGCTGAGACATTGCATTTCTTTCCTGGAACCTCTTATTCCTTTAGCTCTCTTCTTTCATCCCAGGCTCCCAAATCCCCCTCATCACCTAGGAAGACTGAAAGTGAACTAGAGAAATCATTTGCAGAGAAAGTGAAGGATATAAGGAAGGTAGTACAGCCATTCTGAATGGTAGTGGCTTTTAGAACTAGTAAATTAGAAATCTTTAATGTTGCAGTAATTTGCCCAAGCTATGGTGTGCTTTTGGACCAATTTTTATAGATTTGGTTCCCCTGTGTTACTATATTTAAGTCAGAGTGATATCACAAGTTTCTGGGAAATCATATTAGGAAAAAGTGAGAGAAGCTATACCAACAATGATAACTCTGCAACAGCTAAATGATGTCAGAACTCCTGTTCATTTGTCTTTGAAAATGTATTCAGTTTTTCAGGTATTATGTTTGTATCTCATCTTCCCATAAACAACTCACCAACAGAAAATAACTCTATTCATTTGGCTTTTAGAGGGTGGCTTGTACAGTTGAGGCCAATTAAGAGAATCCTGCAGTTAAAGTCAATTTAATAGTAAATTGTGACACTATAATTTTGCTATAAGGCTTTTGCAGCATATTGAGAAAACTGATTTCTGATCTCAATTTACTTTGTCACCCAGAGGCTCTTTCTTCCACCAGGAAAAGCAACAGAGGAAAATGGAATGGGTCAAGTATCAGGAACAAAACAACATCCTTCAGGTACTAAGGTCTTCCAAGGCTGGATATAGGATGCAATTTCTTTCATATAATACAAAGGCTTTTAGCTGCATATTGTGAAGCCCAGTCCCCACATCCTAGATTACCAATTGCCCTGCTAAAACAAATGTGTCATAGAAAGATAGCTGAAGGGACCTATCTCTGAAATTGGAATAAATGGTATTTCTTCCTATGTTCTTGATTTTGTTCTATTCTAAATGGGGAAAAATAACAAATACTTTCTACCCAACTTTTAAAGACTGAGCATGATGGAATTATTTTTTAACTTCTGAGTAAAGAGGATTCAGGTAACAATGGATTCAGAGAAGCCAATCCTATATGTGTAGTTTTGGAAAATGTTCTTTTCAGAATGGTTTTCATGGCAAAGTGATTCAGCTGAGAATTGAAGCCTTGAAGAACTACCAGAAGGCCAATGACCTGAAATTATCACTGTATTTGCAGCAGAATTTTGAGCCAATGCAAGCATTTTTAAATCTTCCTGGGTCCCAAGGTAGGTAGAATATCCCAGGTACACAGTTTGAGGTTTTGTTTTGTTTGTTTTATATTGGAGACCTTTACTTGTAAAGTGAGCAACATAATGCCTGGCACATAGTAAGTTAAATGTTAGTAGTACAGTAACAATTTTTTTCATTATTTTTATTTCTTTATTTATTTTGAGACAGAGTCTTGCTCTGTTGCCCAGGCTGGAGTGCAGTGGCACGACCTCAGCTCACTGCTACCTCTGCCTCCTGGGTCCCAGTTCAAGCAATTCTCCTGCCTCAGCCTCCCGAGTAGCTGGGATTACAGGCATGCAACACCATGCCCAGCTAATTTTTGTATTTTTAGTAAAGACGGGGTTTCACCATGTTGGCCAGGCTGGTCTTGAACTCCTGACCTCGTGATCCACCCACATTCTACCTCCTAAAGTGCTGGGATTACAGGTGTGAGCCACTGCGCCCGGCCTATCATGACTTTTATGACTCAGAAGCTTATGTACTAAGGCAAATATTCTCTCTGGGAGAATTGTTTTCCTTTGTAAAGATAAAGTAATATATTACATACTTAGCATATGTAGCTGATACATAGTTAGCACTCAATAAAATAGGTTTCCTTTCCACCTCATCCCCTTTTCTAGGAATTAGAATTGTTTAATCTTATTAATCTGGCTGGAATAGACTCTGCTACTTCAAAGTAGGCGGCCAAGGAGACAGACATCTGACAATGGTTGTGAATTTCATCCAGTTGTCCCTCTGAGAGTTTCAGCGATTTCCCCACAGAATTTATGGCAATAGTAGAGAAAATAATATAGTTCATTAAAAAATAGAATATAGGGGTGGCTCTGAGGACAGGGAAAAGGTTCTTAAATTTTCACGTTATCTATGAATATGAACTCCATTTTTTAAAAGGGACAGGCAATGGGAAATCATGGCCAAGGGATGACAATGTTCTATTAGTATCAGTGTGTATGTTTCTAATTTCTTAGTCTTATTCTGTAAAGGGTTTAAACAGCTTATAAAAATCACAGTCAACACATAGGGTTAAATAAATATATGAGTAAATCAAAGAAAAGGGAAAATAAGTTGAAGCTGGGCAAATACACAAGAATGCATAATGGGAGTACTGTACAGCTGGCAGAGGTAGGCTACAAATTTGGTTCTGAATTTTCCAGTAAAAAGAAACATGGATTTGCAAAACTCATGAAATAACAACAAACCAATTAATTGCTCAGGAGAAACAGTTTTTCCTGGTGTTGAAATCTGAGAGAAATTTCTCCTCCAGGACCATATAATGGGGGCAGGACATTGTGTGATGACAGTCGCCAATGTCTTCAACAATATTTCAAAATAAATTCAGAATCCAAATTTCCTAGGTTGTTTCTCCTCTGTTCTTTGGCATAATCTGATAAAAACATATTAATCTGAATTTTTTTAAGTGATGAATTGACTCAAGATGATTTGGTTCAGGTACATAAGACTCCCTGGTCTGGCTTGATCCACAGGTAAATTTTAGAAAACTAGAAGACTGGACTGACTATCCTTCAGGCAGTATTCCATGCATATTTTTCTTTCAACTTATGTTCTAATAATAATCGGACAGCATAAAATTGGAAAGAAACCTGGAATGCAACCAGAAGCAGTATTAAATCATTAAGATACAAATTTAAAAGATAGAGGAGAAGAGGGTTATGAGGAAGACAGATAGGTCCCTGTTTTACCTCACTCAAAATTAGCTGAAGGTCATCTCAAGGGATCTATAGGGTAAAGAGCCAAAAGCTTTTTAGCTCCAGAATCAAATTACGTCTAAATTAGTAAATAAGGGTTCCATTCAACTTGATTGTTTCAGGAGATATTTTTTCCCCTTGCATGTAAAACATTGAATCAACTTTGAATTGGAACAGCCACAGATCCACACCTTCTTTTCTTTGCTTTCCTTTTATGTTCCTGGAGAATTAAATGATAGGGTATCATACTGCTTAGTTACCACAGATTAATGTAGCCACAGGCAATGGATCAGTGTGTTATATTGATTCTGCATTCATTTAGCACTAATTATGGGCCAGTTTCATTTTTTAACACACGTATTCAAACTCTATAGGTTTGTCTGAGCACAAGTGGATTTGAAATCTAATGGAGTCCTATATTTTGGTTATGTGGCCTATTTTTTTCACCTCTAGTATTTGATTATTGAAAAGAAGACAAATATTCTCTTCATAAAGGATTTTAAAAGTAATTATGTAAAGAAGTTAATACCAACAGTAATAATTTCTTAATGGTAGGTGTTGTAGTATTTTCCAACTTTGTGTATCACTGGGGCTATTATTTATTATTTGCTGTTTACACTGATTTCTTTAGTTTCCTAAATGCATTCCTTGAAAGTAAAAGTTTTATTACTACTTTAAATGAAGAATCAATATAGTTTTCCATAATAGAAGGTAAACTTCATAATAAATACACACAAAAAAACAAGATTTTAATGTTCTAGAAAAATACATAAGCCTGAGATCTATTTTATCTCCTATAGGAAGTGAGATTAGAAAGACATAGAGAATTTTGGCCAGGCACGGTAGCTCATGCCTGTAATCCTAGCACTTTGGGAAGCCAAGGCAGGTGGATCATGAGGTCAGGAGATCGAGACCATCCTGGTTAACATGGTGAAACCCCATCTCTACAAGAAAATACAAAAAATTAGCCAGGTGTGGTGGCACATGCCTATAGTCCCAGATACTCAGGAGGCTGAGGCAGGATAATCGCTTGAACCTGGGAAGCAGAGGTTGCAGTGAGCTGAGATCGCACCACTGCACTCCAGCCTGGGTGACAGAGCAAGACTTTATATCAAAAAAAAAAAAAAAAAGACAGAGAATTTTAAAGAAAGCCAGCACCAAACTGCAACTTTCTCCTTGATGCCATCAAGTTTGAAATAATTGAAAAGGCAATAATTTTCTCACTGTGATTTATAGTATTTAATGCCACGTTCCAACACTGAAACTTATCCCAATTGCCACCTAAAATCATCTCATCATCAAATTTTGGCAAATTGTAATTTAAGGAAAAAAGCATGAATTTAGACCGAGATACATGAGTTGCAGGCCTTCCTCTGAGGCTCACCAGTTATATGACTTGGGAAAGTCACTTAATTTCAGTTTTTAAAAATACAAACAATACTAACATGGAGTATGTTAACAACTTAATATCTTGTGTAACCCTCACAGTGACTCTATGAAAGGTATTATAGAACAAGAAACAAGCTCAGAGAAGCCAGGCTTCTGGCTCCATATTCAATCCTTATTTGCTAGATTATGCTACAAAATGGATGTGTAAAAGTATGTGACTTTTCATGCCTCTTCTAGATCTAAACGCTATAATTTGAATACAAATTTATTATCTGTTTATAATGTATAATCTTCCCAGTGAAGAATCATACTCTCTAAGGTTAATTTGTTGAGCAGGAGATTGGTAATTCTGCATTTAGCCCAGTAGGTGGCACCAACCACATCCAGGCTTCAAGTCCACAGAGTGGTAATTCAGGAACCATGAAATGCTGTGGGAGAGATCCGTCTTCTACTACTCTCAGGACAAAAGGTGCCACATTTATGTATCAAACGAAAAAAGGAAAAAATTTCTTGATGTTTTATCACACGGTCTTTTGGCAGCAAGGTATATTACTGGCAGCCTTGATTAGACCATGTTAAACTCAGTGTTCTGTTGCATAATTTTTACCTAGTGTTTTACTCCCTGTACTACAGTTCTCTCCATTTCAAAAAAGTCACTGCCCACTTCCTCCACAATCCTTGTAGAATAGTGTTCCCTTCTACCACAGATAAATCACGTGATTGGGGCACTAAAATGAAAAATAAAAGATGGTGTTTATTTGAAGTTTGTATACTTAATAGTGTTATGGGACAGTGTTCCTTCTTCTCTAGTTTCAAAAGAATTGAACTGCACAAACCTGTCTTAGAGAAAGGGCAGAATATAATTTTGGACACACCTCTCAATAAATCAGGGTACAGGCTCTTCTGTTCTAAGCATTTCCAAGTAGAGGAAGGGTTTACCTCAGTACCCTTAGCCAAGAACTCCTCCTCCCACTGTCCTATGTACTGGTTGGCTGAGTTGCAGTGGTATGATCTGTGTAGCTGGCAAAATACAATCCTGTGCTAATATTACTGATTTTGTTACACATCAACAAATCCCTACTTTGAATTCCCTTGATGCCCAGGATGTGGCATTACTATCATCCATGTTATCTTTGGCATGCTGCATCACTTAGTCTGTTCACACCTACGGTGAAGTCTTTACTTTTGATTTTTCTGGAGACAGGTGACATTTGAAAGGATTTACTTTCTCCCCAGTGTAAAATTATAATTTGACTCAGGGTGTATTGTAGGCCCTCCCTAACGTCTACAGAGTCCAGAAAGCAAGTTTGTGGACTTTGGCAGTCACCTATCTTAGAGAGCACAGGCGCTAAGCAATCTCTAAATTCAACTGAATTTCCCATCATATCTCCTGGTGTTTAAAGAAGAGGTTTATCTTCAGCAATGATATAACTTGTGTTAAGACATTTGATTCTGACAGCTTTTCTTTTCTCTCCTCCCCTCAATCCCCACCAACTCTTAGCATTTCCTTGAGGTCTTCTGAGAAAAACCTGAAGGTTGGTTGTGAGTATTATGCTACACTTATAAATTCAGATGAAAGCCCAGCGAGGTGGGAAATGAATACTCTTGAAACCTTATTTACTCTCTAACTCCTTCTGTTCTGAAAGCAAGTCATTCTTCCTGGCTTTAACCTTTACTTCACTTTAGTATTTTTCTTCCTGATGGCTGAACTATACTTCAGCAGGTGCTGCTGAAGGGAAAATAGTAGTGTTAAGCTAAAATGCTGAAAGGCAGGGGCGGAAAACCACAGCTAGCTCAAATCCGGGTCCTTGATAAGTAGTACTGTTGCTTTCAAGTACAGGCTTTTTCAAGCTTTGAGGCAACATGAACCTTTTGAATGTCAAAGTTAGGTTTATGGTATTAATAGGTTATAAAGTTAATTTCTAAACTAAGTCATTCTTTTACTTCTTTAAGACCTCACAGAAATTCAGGGGGAGAAAAACTTTTTTTTTTCCCCTATATATAAATTTTGAAGCTTGTCAAAATAAACTGTACCCTTATTAATATTATTTTAATGGGTGACAACAAATTCCATAATTTGTGGGCATCACCCACTCAGGAGTGCAGCAGTATGTCTAGGAAAGTGTTATCATATTTAGCAAATAAAAAAAGGATACCCTATTAAATTTGAATTTCACCAAATAATTTGTAGTATGTGTGTCCCAAATATTTCATGAGATATATGAAACATTATTTGGTGTTTATATTAAAATTCAAATTTAACTGGGAGTCCCATATTTAAGTCTGGCAACTCTAATTTAGGACAGACTTACTATGGGTCCTACTGAGCACCCTATAATTCTCCCTTTTTCTCCTTTTCATTGCCTCCCTTCCCCTTCTCACCCTACGCCTGCCATTCTCTATGCTTCCTCTTTCTCTTCCCCCATCTTTATCTTTTGTTTACTCTCCACTATCTACAATTGACCATTTTTGTGAAATATATCTATCTGGTTTATCTGAGGGTATGTATATATACACATAACTTATTATTCCACTTTTTAATTTACTTGCATATAATTCTTAAATGAATTTTCCCCCTGTGGGACATGAGCTCTAAACAGAAAAATAGTCTGCCACTCCAACTTCTTAAATAATGTTTGACAAAGTTATTTTCAAAAAAAAAAAAAAAAATCAGAAAATTCACATCAATGCTAATACCCACAGTGATACAAAACAAAACAAAACTAGTTTTTTGTTTTTTTGTTTTTCCCTCCTCAAAAGAAGCTCTTGTTTTCCTAATGTTTTCCCTTAGGTACTATGGGCACTACAACTATGGACAGAGTGACTACTGGCAGAAATGAACACCAGGTGGTGAGAACTACTTTCTTTAAACAAACCAAAAATCATTTTAAGGGCTTGAATAGATAGTGGGTATAGACTTTTGGAATGCATTGCTTAACATATATTCTAATTTAATATTTTAGGAGATTTGCAAAGTGGGTGCTAGGGTACTCAATATTTTAGCTGTCCTTTTTCCTCTGTTTTTTCCTGTCTTAGAGAATTCTGGGAGCAAAGATCTACACAGAACAACAAGGAACTAAAGGAAGTCAGCCTGATGATGCAGGAGGGAGGCTCTTTTTTCTGAGGTCACTGTCAGATGAAGCACTGAAGAATTTGCAGGCTTTCACTCCATTTGCTTTGGACAGATTTAAAGACAAGGCATAGCCATTTGTGTTAATTAAAATCTCTCAAACCTTTGTTTTAGTGCTGTTTTCCCTCTCTCCCCTCACCAATCTGGGTGGAAATGTTGGATGTTTGGCCTTAAACGTGTATGGAATGTAGTCATTTAGGGATTGTAAACAGCCTCTGATTATTTTGATAGCTTTTGGATTTGAAGTGACCACATTTCAACCACATTGTACAATATGTTTTTACTAAGTCCATAAAAAGGAACTCCCCTCCACTTCTGAAGTATGTAATTGTGGACAGATCCACCACTGGGAAATGAGCAAAAGTAGGCACAAAATAAGTAAAATTACATACCACAGACTTCTTTCACTCTCTCACCAAAAACATCAAAATGCCCTGTTGATTCTGCCACCTTGTTATCTATTCCTTGAGTATCATCCACCTTCCTAGTACCACTGTGGTTTTTTACTTGTTTTTGTTTTTTCCCCTAGACCCTCCTTCCTGCCTGGATTACTATAGCCTCTTAATTGGTTTCCCTGCTTCCAATCCCTCTAATTCGTCTTCCACAGTACCACTGAAGCTATCTTTTATAAAACATAAATGAGATCACGTCACTCCCCTACTGGTTTCTTGCTGAAGTCCAAGGTCCTTTACAGACCATAAATGATCTGCCTCCTGTCTACCTTCTCCGTCTCATTTTTCACTATGTACCCCTTCTCTCATACATTCCACATTGAGCTCCACATTACTGTTAATATTTACAGTTCTCTCCCCATGTATCATGAGTTCTATTAGCTCCATGCACAAAGTGGAAAGACACTTCTATCCTGTAGCTATGACCATTGCCTGTTTGTCTTAAGGACTGAATGTGCTGCCCTTCTATCCCACTAATTCTCAATCCTAGCTGTGTACTGGAATCCCCTTAAGAACTTTGAAAAATAGCATTCTACTGGGTCCCACCCCAGATAATTTAAATTATGGTAACTGATCGATAGGACAAAAGCATCCGTATGCTTTAAAAGCTTCTCAGGAAATTCTAAAGTACAATCAGGTTTGAGACTTGTTGCTAGGCTCTCTTACTTTTGTCATAGCACTAAATGAACTCTATCGCAATTAATGATTTATCCAGCTACCTTCCTCACAAGGTCGTGAGCTCTTTGAAACCCGGTATTTTATCTCGTTATCTTTTCATTTGACTGCCTAACACAGTGCGTAGTATTTTAAAGAGGCTCAGTAAATGACATGTAGAAGGCCACAGAAAGTTAATTTCCAAGTCCCAGGTCTCTTGATGTCCTGCCTTGTGTAAATTACCACTGGATTATATCATAGTTCCTGAGATCTTCAGATATTTTCTTCTCCTCTAAGTTGTCATTAATCTCCTATCTCATGTCAGTATAGAAGAGTTGATTTGTCACAAAACACTTCATAATCTGTAGGAATCCCTCATACTTTCTGGTAATAAGCAAAATGAGCCAGCCAATTCAAAATCTTCTTTTTCTCAAAGTCAATTTAAATCTTTAAAGACGCATTTTAAAGATGAATTTTTTAAATGTACTTTTGCACTGGAAAAGGTTTACAAGAAATCACAGAATTTTGGCATTAGAAGGAACTTTAAATAACTATAAAGTTTCCTTTGCTTTCCAGAAAAGGAAACTGGAGTTCAGATACATTGAAAAGGTGTCTAAATTCCTTCAGTTAATTGGAGCCAGAGCTGGTTACCGGAGCCCAGGTATTAATACTGCCAGTTCATATTCCAATCTAACTTGTATCTTTCCTCTCCTAACCACAAAAATAATGGGCTCTTAAACACTGAGGTGATTACTTTCATATTCTACCAACTGAGTTAGTGGAGTATGTAATTTATATTGTTTCAAGAAAGCCATCACTGTACTTATTTAGTCCCTGGGAGATTCTGGCAGTCCTGAGAGATTTTCCAAGTCAATTGGATTAGACAGAGCAATGAGAACAAAAGATAAAAATATAAAATCTGAATGTACTACTGATTACCTTGAACTAGTCATTTAACCTTAGGGCTTTAGATTCTGAATTTTAAAATTAAATTAAAAGACTATCATTTGAATGTTTTAAAATTATGTTGTTGTTGTTTTTTTTTAACCACTACAATGAGTTTGGATTAGTATATAACCTTCCCCCCCCCGCTTTTTTTTTTTTTAACTAACACATGGAATAAAGTAGTTTACTTGGTAGCTGAGGTTGTAACTTCTTAAAAAGTGAATTATTTGCCATTGTCAAAGTATTTACATTCTATGTTCATTATCAGTCAGGCTTAACATCTTTCCCTCAAATGTTCCAAATCTTTCCATTTTTTCAAAACACAAAACTGGGATAGCCTGTTACTCTACTTTGTCTTTAGGACTTCATATTGGATTCTGACTTTCATAAGGGCAGCATAAAGTTATCAGTTAGATTGGGTGACTCCTCATGAGTGTCTGCATTTCAGTGAATCCAGGAAATGGATCTCAGTTTTGTGAGTACAGACAAATTCATATGGTCAACTTATTCAAAAGGTCAGAGAGTTATTCAAGCAACTTAAACTCCCTAGAGATTAACTGATACATCCAATATTAAATTACAGAGAGGGCTATACCTTACAACTTGGTGGGAATATGTCTATATGGTCTATATTTAGGGTATTCCTATCTCCAAATCAAGTTATAGTAAACTGAACTAGTAATCAAAAAGTACTTGGGATTGAAACATCATTATTATAGTTTTATTTGTACTCATAATATTCTAATTATATTCCTCTGAGAATAAAATCTCTGATAACCTTAACCCCATATGGGCAATACTTTTCAAGTTCAAGGTCAATTGAGGAAAAACCTGTTCCACCAGCAATACATTTACAAATCATAACTTTGGGTAGACTACTTTTGTAGCTTATCTCATTTATTTTATCTTGACTTTCTAGCTACGTAGAGGATATTGGCTAACATTCTACCCCAAAAAGTTGCCTTTCTGCATTGCCAGAAAGTGATTAGTAATATTTGTCACACTTCTTTCCTAAATGAAATAAGGCCAACAACAGCTTGATACTTTCATCTTTAGTCTAGAATTACAATAATCAAAGAGGGGAAGCGACAATGCACAACATTTTGCCTTACACTCACAGATCCAGGCAGAAAATCTAGTTTTAGTGTTGTTTATGTGAACAATGGCCACCTTAGATGGTGTCTCTCCTTTTATTGGTACAGGCTTCTGTAATCTGTTGCGCAACAAGTAAAATCTCTATCGGTCCCTCTGGCACCTTGGAAGGAGCCTGCATTGCTACCAATTCAAAGTCCCTATTGCTTCATATGTTCTGTATTTAGTCAACAAATATTAGAAAATGGGAAGAGAACAAGGTCCTGTGCTGGAAAGGGAGGCTTGCTCTGCAACCAATCAATTAACGGCAGGAGATGCACAGGCAGATACATATGACATATAATTATTACACGGTAAAATTGAGAATCTTCAGGCCAACTAAAAAATCCATCTTCTCTACTTCTTTCACAAATTCACTTATGATTCCTAACATGAAAACTTACTTAAGGTTCATTTTAAGTATAAAACATGATATAAACATTCCTAGAAACTGTATTTCCCCCAATTATTAGTCAACCTGGGGAAAATGAGATTACTTAGGTTAACAAAATAAGTTTTGTTTTGTACATTGCTTTTTAAGGAAAAATATTTTTCTGGGGACGCTGGGCTTTAAGATAAATTTTAGTTAAATGGAAACCAATGAACAACGGTAGAAAAGCACGATGCTTTTGATTTTTCAAAAGGTCCATTTGAAGTCAATCCATGTCAGTTTTTAAGCTTGAAACTATCTTTTCTTGATATAGATACTGAATCCTAAAAACTGAAGGCATTGCAGACAGAGCCCTTTTAAGAAATCAAATAGCTTCTGGGGCAATTAATATTACTTTCCGATTTAGCAAATCTCATTTTCCTTTCCCATATCTAAAAATCTTTCCCTCTTCTAGAAAATACTGCCCTTCTCTTCTATGGTGTACCTTTTTCTTTTGTTTTTGTTTTTTTCAGGAGGGAGAAAAATCAGTGCTTTCTTTAGAAATCAAATTTTTTTCTTCCTGGTTTTCTTATCAGATACACAGCCACATAAATAAGTGGAAACATTGTACATTTGTAAATTGTCAGTACATACCTAGGAAGAACTTCTTTACCTTCTGAATATTAATATGTGACTATGTAGGTAGATTTAAAGGTATATAAACTGGAGTGCACAGGAAAGAATAACCTCTATGGTATAAGGGAGAGAGACGAGTTTGGTATTTGCTTCATACGTGCTTTGTGGATCGGTACATGATGTAAATCTATGATTCTCAGTTTTGGTTCCTGGGATCTTTTACATTCTTAAAAACTGAGGACTTTATGGAGCTTTTGCTTATATAGGTGATACGGTTTGGCTCTGTGTCGTGTCCCCACCCAAATATCATCTTGAATTGTACTCCCATAATTCCAAGGTGTTGTGGGAGGGACCCGGGGGGAGACAGTTGAATCACGAGGGTAGTTTCCCTCATACTGTTCTCATGGTAGTGAATAAGTCTCATGAGAGCTGATGGTTTTAACAGGGGCTTCTGCTTTTGTGTCTTCCTCATTCTCTCTTTGCCTGCTGCCATCCACGTAAGATGTGACTTGCTCCTCCTTGCCTTCCGCCATGATTGTGAGGCTTCCCTAGCCACGTGGAACTGTGAGTTCTCTATTAAACTTCCTTCTTTTGTAAATTGCACAGTCTCAGGTATCTCTTTATCAGCAGCATGAAAACAGACTAATACAGTAGGTTACATACATTCAAATTTCCAGAATAAAAATTTTAAATATACTATTTACTATAATGGGGTACTGATCTAAATAATACCCTAGAGCCAGATGCTGTGGCTTGCATCTGTAATCACAGCTACCTGGGAGGCTGAAGCAGGAGGATATCTTCAGGTGAGGAGTTTGAGACCAGCTTGGGCAACACAGAGAGACCCTGTCTCTCTTAAAAAAAAAAGTATATATATTTGTGTGTGTATACACACACACACACACACACAGCCTAGCGAAGCCAGTGCCATCTTTGTTGCAATGTAGGATGAGCCAAGGTGAAAATGAAGTTAACAAAGAAGAAAGCATAGCTCAAAGTGACATGCTGATGACATAGTTTCAGGCCCTGAATCTAGCCAACCCTGAAGCTATGCAAGTCCAGACTTGTCAGCTGCATGAGCCAATGAATTTCTTTTGGCTTCTACTAGGATCAGTTGCTTGCAACCAAGTATGTCATCAGACATCTGGGTTTCCAATTGTGGACTTCAGGGAAAGAGTAACTGAAACCAAGAAAAGCAAAACTGCAGATAAGGGAGGACTACTGTATACTTCATGCTACTGAATTATATACATTTAAATGGTTAAAACGGTAAATTTTATGTATGTGTATTTACCATTTAAAAAATGGTGAGGGTGAAGCTTTGGTTGCTTTAAATGTATTTTTTCCCCCAAAGATAGATAGATTATGGTCAAGATGAACTTTAAACTAGCTGAATTAGGCATTGTATTTTTTCCCCTAGGATTGCTGTAACTAATTCTGGTCTGAAAATAGTTGAGTGCAATACAGTAAGATATTCTGAGAGACAGAGAGACCACATTAACATAACTTTTATTACAGTAAATTGTTATAATTGTACTATTTTATTATCAGTTATTGCTGTCAATCTCTTACTGTGACTACTACATAAATTAAACTATCATAGGTATGCACATGTGGAAAAAACATAGAGGAGAGTCTGGACCTAGAAAAGCCCAATGAGATTTGGCCTTGCTTATATTGAAATTGTGATTAACCACAGAAAAACTCAGAGTTAACTGGTGGGCTAAGTGTAAATATACTAGTACTAGGAAAAAACTAACTTCAGGCCGGTCGTGGTGGCTCACGCCTGTAATTCCAGCACTTTGGGAAGCCGAAGCAGGCAGATTATCTGAGGTCAGGAGCTCAAGACCAGCCTGGTCAACATGGTAAAACCCTGTCTCTACTAAAAATACAAAAATTAGCAAGGCATGGTGGCACACGCCTGTAATCCCAGCTACTCAGGAGGCTGAGGCAGGAGAATTGCTTGAGCCCAGGAGACAGAGGTTGCAGTGAGCTGAGATGGTGCTACTGCACTCCAGCCTGGCTGACAGAGCAAGACTGTCTCAAAAATAAATAAATAAATAAAATAACTTCATTCCTATTGAAATATAAAGTTTCATCTCCATGATACTTGTAATCAAAGCCACGTTAACCTATTTTTTTATGTTGTCTTAGATGGTTAATGGAAACTCTTGTAGTTTTCATGATGAAAACCCTAAGAATGGAAAGAATAACTTCCTGGGCACTTCTAATTATTTACATACAGACTCCCACCCCAACCCACACCACACCCCATGCCCCATGTTTCCTGAGACATTTATCAATATTTGGAAAATGACACTCTCTCCTACCTTTCAGAAAATTTCCTTTGGCATAACATTTGATTCCAGGATGAATTCTGCAGAAATGTCACACTGTAAAAAGAGTAATGGTGTGTACATTTTATAATAGTCATTCAATAACCATCTGTAAAAGTTCACTCTAGACAGTGAAGTCATTGTGTCTTTCCTTTGTAAGTTTTGTTTGTAAAAGGTTGTTGAATTTGAGAAAGATGAATACACTTAAGAAAAACTGTTGAAAGACAAGCATTATAATTTAGTTCTATTTTTTTTTTTAGGAATTTTATATACTTACAGTCAGTAAAAATATAATGAATGTTAATAAACTTCCATATACTTTAGAACAGGGGTCCCCAAACCCCGGGCCGCAGACAGGTACCCGTCTGTACCCTATTAGGAACCAGGCCACACAGCAGCCAGCAACCATTACTGCCTGAGCTCTGCCTCCTGTCAGATCAGTGGCTGCATTAGATTGTCATAGGACAATGAACCCTATTGTGAACTGTGGATGCGTGGAATTTAGGTTGTGGCTTCTTATCAGAATCTAATACCTTATGATCTGAGGTATTCTAGAACAGTTTCATCCGGAAACCATCACCCCTCCCCATCCCCATCCACGGAAAAATTGTCTTCCACAAAACAGGTCCCGGGTGCCAAAAACGTTGGGGACTGCAGCTTTAGAAAGTTTAATCCATATCCACCCTTCCCCACTTAAATTTTAATCAATTTAACCATCATCCCTTTTATGAATGCACAAAGTTAGTCTCTTGTCCTCTTATTATTGATTTGTGAAATAAAGTGCCAGTTTTCTTCCATGAATAATTATAGAATATTCTAATTAAAGGAGTGCTTATTTAGTCTACCACTATACTTAAAAGGTACTTACTTCGTCTACCATCTTATTTAAAGGATGAAGGAAAAGGCCCAAATTTGTTTAAGGTCACAACCTGCTAATGGGCAGGTTTAGACCTTATGTCTAAGATAGACATAAGATAGATGATAAGCTCAAGGTATTTTCTAATCATTTAGAGTGTGTTGCAGAGAACAAAGATAGGTTAGAAAGATAACAATATAACCAACTATTTGCTTTTCATGTTTAGTTTGAGATAAAGGAAATCATTCTCTTGGACATACTTTCTCATCTTTATCTCTCATTTAAAACTAGTTAACAACCTGTTGGCCACCAGGATCTAAGGTGACAATGAGGAAATGAGTTCATGACCTGGCTTAAATTTTTAATCACTGTCAAAAATACTAGCAATACACATACTAAAAACAAAAGCAAAAAAACCATTAATTTATTTTACCTACTTCAATTCCATCCATCATCTACTTTGTAGGCCCCATTATTTAAAATGAAATACATAAGCACGTGAATCTTCAGAGGATGAGTAATTTCATGTTCCAGCGGAACAATAAAATTCTCATAATTGGCCAGGAATGGTGGCTCACGCCTGTAATCCCAGCACTTTGGGAGGCCGAGGCGGGTGGATCACGAAGTCCAGATCTTGATCGAGACCATCCTGGCCAACATGGTGAAACCCTGCCTCTACTAACAATACAAAAATTAGCTGGGTGTGGTGGCGCGTGCCTGTAGTTCCAGCTACTCGGGAGGCTGAGGCAGGAGAATTGCTTGAACCCGGGAAGCAGGGGTTGCAGTGAGCCGAGATCATGCCACTGCCCTCTAGCCTGGCGACAGAGCGAGACTCCGGATTAAAAAACAAAACAACCAAAGTGACTTTGAAATTTGTGTATAAACACTGATATTATACATTTTTCACTTTGCGTTTCACTTTTATGCCTCCAGGTTTACTACAGCTAAGAAGAAAAAACATATACATATGAGTGTGTGTATACACACACACACGCACACGCATATAACTTTTTAAAATTCAGAAGCTGAAAGGTCCAGAAAGATAGTAAGAAACTAACGTAGAACAGCCACAGGTGATTAATAACACGTTTCATGAAAGGCACATGGAAATAAATGGCAACAAAAGCTATTTTCATGGTAATCTCACATCCCACGAATACTGAAATGAGACTCGTTGCGGCAATGGACTATGATTCAGGTGGAACACGTTCTCGTTCGCTAAGGAGATAGATGCTTTTCACCTAAAAGCAGCTCTCACGGCGAAGAGGCTTAAGGCCATAAAACCGTTGGACAGCAGGAGGAAGAGAAGCCAGGTGTCTCCACTCCAGTTGCCCTGCCTCAGACTCCTAAGCTTCGCATGTGAGGATCGTCTTGTAGGCACTGACTGGAGATGGAATCCTAAAACACAGGTGAAGCGGAAATCTTCCTTCAGGGAGAGCCGACTGAGGAAGCCAGCGGCTAACACTGGGCGGGACAGGATACCTCCCTCTTCGCCCACGGCAGGCTCTCTATCATAGTAGCCGCCGTTCTGCCACTCAGGCAGCTTTTTAAGGCACCTCTAGGTTCGCCAGCGCTTTCAGTGGGGCGGCCGGCCGCTCCCGAGGGCTGCAAGACGCGGCCCGGCGTGCTGAGCCAGTGTCGCTCCTCCCGCGGTCCCCTCAGAAGGCCGGCCCGCCGGCTACAGTCTGCCGAAGGCGCGGACAACCGACGAGGTGTCAGGCTCGGCAGGGGATTGCTTCTGTCTGGGGCCCGGCCGAGGTTGCGTTCCTGCCTAGCGCGCACACGCTCCGCGTTCACTCAGCCAATCCCGCGCTACTCGCGCACCCAGGAGCGATCCGCGGTCCTACTCAGGCTGGGCCCGCTCCTTCCCGCTCCCAGTACTCAGCACCCGAGCTCTCACTCCTCCCCTCACTCTCCACGAGTTCCACGCCTCAGGGTGTAGCTCCGCCCCTGTCCCCGAGTCCGCCCCCGCAACCTCCAGAGCGTGTGCTCTCCTTTCCTCTCAGTCCTGCCATCTAGCTGCCTTCGGTCTCGCGCTCCGCAGAGCGGCCCGAGCTTCTTCGGCCTCGTTCCGCCGCCTCCGCGCGCTCTCCCCGTGCGGCCACCGAACCCTCCAGCTCGCCTCCTTCCTGCCGGACTTGGGGTCGCGCGCCCTGACTCCGCCCCCTCCCGCGGACCCGCGCACTCCCGGCGCGGCCTCTCCCCCACGCAGGCCACCGAGCACTCTACGGCCTCCCACTCCTTCCCCGCTCTCCTCGCGCTTCCCTGGCTCCCTAGCTCTCGCGCTCTCCGCGGCGAGCGCGCTCCCGGCCCGCGCGCTCCGGGCTCCAATTTCTCCCGGCTCCTGTCAGTGCGGTGACTGCGCTGGGAAACATGGCGACCGAGGGAATGATCCTTACTAACCACGACCATCAAATCCGTGTCGGAGTCCTTACAGGTAACCGGGGGAGGAGGTGCGGGACCTATGAGGCTGCAGTCCCTGACTTGCCTTAGGCTTTTCGCCTGTGGTGGCCCTTCTCTGCGGCCTCGGGAGGAGGGAAGGCTGAAGAAGGGAACCGCGGGGGTGCATTTTACAACCGCTGAGAACCGCCAGAGATTGGGGGTGTTCCCGCGGGTCCCTTTCCCCAGCCCGCCGGAGCCGTGGTCGACCCCGTGGGATGTCAGGCCCCAGCGCCTTCGGAGACAAAGTCCTGGGCCCCCGGGGACCGAGGGGCCGGTGCGGAGGGCGCTGCGGGATCCGCGCTGTCGGTGCAGGCGGCGGGATCCCGGCTCCGCAGTCTGAAGCATGCCGCTCTCGGCTGGCCCGGACGCATCCTCCGTTAGTGCTCTTCTGAGAGAGGGGGGAATCCCATCTCCACCCCCTTCCTCCCTTTCCCTTCCCCCCACCCGGGCGGCCCCACGCCAGTAGCTGTGCTTGCCCGGACGCGACTCAGGTGTTAATCAGATGAAACTGCTTCTCCTCGGGTTGTCCCTCGCGGGCCGGGCATCCCCTCAGCCACCCATGGGGCACCCTTCGCCTCTTTCGGGGGATGGAGGATCGGCTTGATCCGGACCTCAGAAAGTGTCTGCCTTCTGCCTTTCCGAGCAAAGGGCCCTCTGCCTCGTCGTTTCCTTAGCGAGGACGGGCTGCAGCCTGCGGCCGGGGGATCCAGCTCTTTTTACTTGAGAGGGCAGGATTCCCCTACTCGGGCTCCTCTCCCCCTGCTTTCTGGGAACCCCCACCCCGGTGGAGCGTCCCGAGGCTGGTGAGGAGCGCACTTTTCCCGGGTCGCGTTTCCCTCCCTCGCGAAAGCCGTGTGTGCTCTGCATGTCTGATTCCGTTGCGCTGAATGTGGTTAATATCCGTCACTTCAGCGATCGGCAGTTGCTGCAGGGCATGACTTCCAAGATGAACGCCAAGCCGATTTGTAGGGGTTTCTGCTGTGGTTCTGTAGTTGGCAAGGTTTATGTGTAATTGAGTGGCGAGGCGGGGGTTAAAGAACTATATTTGGAATCTGAGGGCTTAGTTTGGAGTGAAGGAAGCCCAAGACTCAGTGATGTGATTTCGGAAAAAGAAGCAATGTGTACGGGAATCCTAGTGTTTCCCTTACTTCTTTTAAAAAAATTTTTTTTAACTGCCAAATTCTGACAGGTCGAGACGGTGCTCGAGAAGGGACTAAATTGAATAAGACTTGCTTTTATTATTAGGTAGAAAAAAAAGGTCTGAGGCTGCCGGCAGATACTGAGTGCAAAGCTTAATTTAGTTGCTGAATTTTATGAAAAGGTGATATCCAAAGCCTCCTTTTCTCTCTTTTAAGTAAAGGATTGCCTTTCCCTGGTATTGTTTCCGTATATCGATGGTGATTAATTGAATTTTCCTAATCAAAAGATCCTTTGGTAGTGAAACTAGTCTAAACCAATTGCAGAAAAGGGAACCCCCAAATCAGAAAGGTACGCTGTTCTCTTCTTTTGATCCTGAAACTGTTTGGCTATGTGAAGATTCAGTTGTATTTCAGAATTCCTGGAACTGACATTGCCAATTTTCGAATAATCTGATGATGGGATGTGAAAGTGTATATCCTTTATCTACCTTCAACTTGCACTTTAAATTCTAGCCATTCTTTAACAATTAATAGAGTAGTGAGAAACCAAAATATGTCAGTTGTCTGTGGAAATAAAAAAGGCCATAGATGTTTAAAAGTTAAACTGTAGAACTATTTTTAAAATGAACATTTCTGCTTAAGCTTTCCATTAAATAATAGTTTCATTTAACGAATCATCTTAGCTTTGTGAAGTGACATAGCAGGTAGGTGTTGTACAGACTGCTTTGAAAGATGCAGACCTTATCTCGTGTCCCTACAGTCTGATATGGATAACATTGATAGGCAAACAACTCAAGAAACATTGCATGTAATTATTGTGCAAAACTTTTCTAAATACATTTTCTATGAGTTTGGGGTTAACTGCAAAAGAAATTCCATATTCAGATGGATTAGGAGCAAATATGACTACCTGAAGGGAGAATTTAATACATTTGCTAGAGTCAAGAAGAAACTGGCAATTTTAAGGGGAGTTGAAAGTCAGCTGCCACTTTATAAATAAATATGTAGTTGATGGTGAGGCTCCTGAGCAGAATAAAAATGTAATATAAAGGCCTTGGAAAGCTCAAGTGGAATAGGTAGGTGGCATAGGTAAAATGTCAGAGAGAAGATAACATTAACATTGACAGTGGAATTAAAGACAATCAGGGGAAGCTATTATGAGAATGAGGTACAGTAGTCTAGGGCCAGGTAGAAGGGTGTAGCTGAAGGAATGAAAAGGCAGCTACAGATTTGGAAAAAGTGGTAATAGAGGAAAGTAGGTTTTGATGATAACATGTATATTTGAAGTCAGAAATAACTTACGCTTTTTCTTGAAAAGTTATTGATACAGATATTGTCTACTGTGATGGAGAGGAAAGAAAACTGATTTTTCTCAAGTCTGTAACTAGTGGGTTTCATTATCAACAGCTTAATTTCTGTGGTCTTGCCTGATATATGATTTTGAGGAAAGAACTTACAAAAATGAAGCTGTGCTATGCAAATTTGTGTATTCTAGAACTTCAGGTTTTGCAGTTTACTATGTAGAATTATTCTTTACTGAACTCAAGTATTGTGATTTCATACTTAAGAAAGTCGATTTGAACTGTAGTTTTTGTAAATTATAATTTGTGGCTCTCTTAAAAGGTGGAGGGCCTCTTTTAGAAAATCTTCTTGGCATGCTTCATAATACTAATTTTAAGTATTTTATCTACATCTGTTTTACAAATATAGTGGAAAGTGTGATCTACCCACACACACATTTTACAATATGTTACTTAGTATTTTGTGAAATCATATTGTCATTTCTAAAGTTTTTAATTGACTCCTTTGTGACATTTTTTATTGCCTGTTGAAAGATACTTGTTCTCTGAAACTTTTCGTCCATTAGATGTTTTTGTTATCTTCATTTCAGTTATGAATTTGGCAAATTTAATACATAGTCTGTTGAGACTTCTCATCAAATAAATTAATTGTATTAGGTTTATGAAAGAATAATGGTAGAAAGGGAAATATTTAGCAGAAGCATTTTTTGCTTCATTATTTTGAATTATTAAGCACTTGAAAATGAGATTATGATAATGTAACGTGGATATTCTAGTTATACTAATTTTTTTAAATCAGGAAAATGAGAATATGTATGTATGTAAAATAGGCTGTATGTGGAAACATTTTATGTTGAATGTTACTGTCCATCTTTAAGAACAATATCTTTGTTCGAAACTGTCTTATGTTGACTTGACAGAAATGAAAGTCACATGGTGTTTGGTGACCTAAGGTCTAGTTTGAAATATTTCTGTGTCTAATGTTCTCTATTTCTATTACTATTTATAGAAGAGACTAAAGGTAATGTGGTAATGAGTAACATGAAGCAAATAAACAAGTATCTACTACTACAAAACTAGAAACAAGATGTGGTGCAGATGTAGAATTTTTTTCTAACAGCTTTAGTAGTAATTATACTTAAAGTCAATCTTACTAGTTACACAGCAGACTCACTATATCTAGAATGTGTCACTCTTCATATACTTTTTTTCTATTTTGAAAGAAGCTGTTTATCAAAGCAGCATATTGGTTTTACCACTGTGAAAGCTCTACAGAAAGGTTAACAGGAAAATAATGACTACATGTATGTACATAATGTAGAATCATATAGATAATCCCATTGGCTACTTAATATCATATTACTTCGCTACAGCTAATGTTTGATACCGAGGCACTTAGCCAAAGATGATAATCCATTACCTAAATTGTCACTAATAGTGGCATGAATGAGAAAAAGGTACAAATTTTTAGGAAAGAGCATTTTTAAAAATCATATTTTTGCTGTAGTAATATACATTTTAATTGCACTAACTTGTTGATTTGAACTCAGTAAGAGATATTGGAACAAATTGACTAGGTACTAGAGATTAGTTAAAAGACTAATTGTAAATTAGAACATCAAAATATTACAGTAACATGTAGGGAGTATTTCAGTTATTCATAAATGAAGTCATTCAAAATATTCAGAAAACAAGTTTAAGCCAAGCAGATGCTACCCTTATAACTCTGCAGTTGTTTAAGCATTTACATTTTTACATTCTTGAAACCTGTTCTGGTATATTATGTGTCAGTATTATTTTCTGAAAAGCCCATTTATTGATAAGGATATATACATATATCTGTTTTGAGAATAGATGTCATTAAGTAGGCAAATTACTATTAAAGCCTACTAAGTGGAATTGTGTGTTCTGGCAAACTTAGCTGTTTTTTTCAATATGTGTTTTTAATATTGAGCTATATGACTTGAAAGGAATCCTATTTCTTGAATTAGATTGTTATTTTGTGAATTTTTTGTTGGAAGCAATGTATTAGAGAATTAAATGTTTAATCAAAGTAGGAAAATGTTAAATTAATTTCTAGTGAATGTACTTAGTACTATCATCATTAATCAAAGACTTGAAAAAGTATTAGTTGCTACACTAGAAGAATTTTGGTTATATTAAAAACACGTGACGATTTGACTTCAAAGTGAATGTACTTAATACTATCATCACTGACCAAAGACTTGAAAAAGTCTTAGTTGCTATACAATTAGAGTTTTAAATATATTAAAAACACATACGACTATTTGACTTCAAACAGGCGTTTGGTGGAAAATCAATAGTATGTTTTTAGGGAGGAAGTGATGAATAAGAGTCTATTTTTACTCTTACTGGTGATAGATTCCTGGCTAAGTTGAACAGAGTGTTTTTAAAAACAATCAGTAAAATAGATAAAATCTATTACTCTATTTCTGTAAATAGGATTGAAGAATAATGAAGCATATTTGGAATTTGAAATGTATAAAAAAAAAAAACCTGAAAAAGAAAGTAGTGAAACCACAAAGGATTTCTTC